AAGCACCCTAATGTATATAATGTAGAACAAGAGTAAAAATCATTGAAACCTTTTCGAGCTAAATCAATAAAAGTCTCACTAAAACGACCACTATATAAAGTTTCTGTAAACGAAAGTCTGTGAAAAAGTTGTTTTTTAATTAACCGTTTTAGTAACGTTAGACATCTCGTTAATGGAACAAGATTTAATGTTTTATATGCAATATTTATTCAGTAAGCAATATTGAAATTCTTTACACAAAAGTGTGTAGCAGCCAAATAAAAATTATCGGCCAATATTGAGATATTGGCTTGAAATTTCTCGGCATTGGCACATGTAGTGTTCCTCGGTTCGTGTTTTTAGATCAAAGTTATTTTTGCTATTTTGTCAAAACAAAAGCAATATTGTTTGAAGTTCATTTTCGTCATTATACAAGTTATTATTTTGTATAATTATAGCATATAATATTAAGTGCTATTATTTGATAAAAATTGGTCGTTTAATTAAAATTAGTGAAAAAAAGTCATTTAGCAATTTGCCCCCCCCCCTCCCTCCGTCGTCACAACATCGTAACTCTTTAGTAGCAAATTTTGCATAAGTCGTCACAAAACCGCTTACTCCTTCCCCCTTAAACTCCTTCCTCTTTTAACGTAATTTACGGACGACCGTATCTTCTTTCTATCATAAGCAAGATTTTTGAATCTTTAATTAACAAACACTTAATCTCTCATCTTGAATCTAGTAACTTACTTTCTGATCATCAATATGAATTTCTATGTTCTCGTTCTACGGTTTATTTGCCAACAGTAACTACCATTGCTTTTATCGTGCATTAGATAAAGGTTGAGAGGTTAAGGCCATTGCTCTTGACATTTCTAAAGTGCTGGTCTTCTCCATAACCTTTCTTCTAACGGTGTATCTGAAAACATCGTTAAGGTTATTGAATCCTTCCATTCCAATCGCAGTAGAAGAGCTGTACTTGATGGACAGCACTCTTCTTATTATTCTGTAACCTCAGGGGTTCCTCAAGGTTTAATCTTTGGCCTACTCTTTTTAATTTACATTAACGATCTTCCAAATATTCTCACATCTGAGGTGGCATTGTTTGCTGATGATACTACCATTTATTCTTGTCATGATAAGAAGCCAACGCCCTTTGGTTTCTTGGAGGGAGCATTTGAACTTAAAAAGTCACTTCTACTATAGCATGGGGCTTAATTCTGCTACAGCATGGCGCTCACAGTGGCTGGTGAACTTTAATTCAGATAAAAAACAATTATTTTCAGCTTATTGTTATCGCAATAATTTTAGACCTTCCTATATTTATAGAATGTACTTGATAAATCATCTTCATCTTCTTGGATTAACTCTTACTTCCCATCTTTCTTGGAAACCATATATCAAATCCATGGCAAAATTAGCATCTGCTAAAGTTGCATCTCTTTATCGAGCTCGACACTTTTTTACTCCAAATTCTATTCTCTATCTCTATAAATCTTAAACCCAGCCTTCAGGGGCGGACTGGCCATGTGGAAGATGTGGACTATTCCACATGGGCCGTTGTTAAGTACTTTGTTTTTACGTATATGTATTCTAATAAATTTTTTCTGTTCGATATTTATTCATTAATGTATATATTTATAAATTAAGCATAACTTTGTAATTTACGTCTGTTATCTTTGCTGCTTTTCCTCATTTTTCGTTGGCCTACAGGGCCGTTAAAAATATTTTTCCACATCATAATAATTTGGCCAGTCCGCCCCTGCCAGCCTTGTATGGAATACTGTTGCCATATCTGGGGCGGATATTCTAATGATACCTTTTCTCTTTTAGACAAGGTGAAAAAACGCATTGTAAACATAGTTGGACCTGCTCTTGCAACCAACCTCAACCATTACCACATCGTCGTAATGTCGCTTCTCTTTTTTTTTCTACAAATACTATATTGGGGCACAGCTCTAAAGAGCTAATGTCTCTTGTGACATCTACTAAAATTCACTCTCGTGTTACTCGTCATTCAATAAAGTCTCATCCTTTTTCTTTGACTGTTCCTAAGTGCTCCAAAAACTCTTATTTGTCTCGTTTTTTTCCTTAAACATCAGTTCTTTGCAGTTCGCTTCATTCATCTATAATTTGCAATCTTTTAAGTCGTCTGTAAATCGTTATCTTGCTGTACAATCTCATCTTTTCTGTTCCAGTAACTTCCAACTCTAATTAGTAGTTGCTTGCAGCCTTGTTTGAAGCAAAGATGTTAATAAAAAAAAAATATATATATATATAATATACAATGACAATGTCTAATATAGGGTATATTTTATATCTATATTGTAAAAATATTAAAGTTTTTTTTAATATTTGAAGGAAATTATAGTGCATATAATATAGAAATATTAGAGCGTATACCTAAAATTCATTAAATGATAAATTCCTCTTGAAGATCCTGCAATCTTCAAGAGGTCATGCCAATAATATATTCAAGCTAAACTTATCATGCTGCTGTAATATAGGATTTGTCTTTTTTTTTTTTTAAACGAGTAAAACAAAAAGTTAAGAAAATGGAATGGTATTAAAGAGTAAAATCTTATGTAGAAAATTGTTGAAATTGTCTTAATTGACAATCCAACTTTAATTAGTTTTAGATTGAATTTTTAGAGTTAAATGAATTGATCTTTCTTGACCTCGTGAATCAAACTCTCCTGACTTAAATATCTAAAGCGTCAGATAAATAGTACTTTAAACTTTAATTATCAGCTTATTAAATAAGTGTTTTTAGAAACAGTGTTATTGAAAAATTTCATTTACTTTTAGAGCCTTAAATTCTTTTGATTTTTCATGTTCAGCTATTCACCAGTCTTGAGTTGCTAGTGATACTTTTGATTTTTTATAAAGTGATGTAGTCCAATTTCCATCACACTTCTTAAAAAAGTCACAAAAATTACAAATCCGGTTTAAACATGAATTAAGTTTAATATTTTAGTCATTTTTTGAAATTTTTTTACTCCCGCGACTTAACACTAAAACTTTTTTAAAAAGTTTTAATTTTTGCATCTACAAAACTAAGCAATTTATTAACTTAAACTCCAGTATAAAGTCTTGATTTCACCGCTTGCAGCCAATTTATTTGTGTTAAAAAAAAATGTTTTAACGTTTTATGTTTTACGTCGCTTTAAAAACGTTATCACAAGTTTACGCAAAAAATTAGAGAAACTTGAAAAACAATGACGAGTTTGAAAACATACTGTCATCCATCAAAAATACTACGTTTGGCATTTAAAAAGAACAACTTTTATTAAATAAATGCATTAAAAACAGACTTTTTGAAATTAAATTAAAAATTATGAAAAATTTGAAATTAAATTTTTGAAAGAAATCAAACACATATTCAAAGATATTCTTGAAGTAGATATTCCAAAATAAAAACTTATTTCTTGTCAAAAATGTAACTTTATAATAATTTATCTTGTATTAGATACAGAGGGTGATTAATTTTCCCTATAGGGAAAACTAAGATTGTCTAACTTATCTTTATGCTGGAAATAATACTATACAGTAATTATATTATTGTATAAATTATAATATTTATGTTGAAACCTAGAACACTTATCAATGAATGTTTAATCCTTCTGAATCTTGTCATCTATGTAATATATTATATATATTTAATATATATATATATATATATATATATATATATATATATATATATATATATATATATATATATATATATATATATATATATATATATATATATATATATATATATATACAAGGCCGGCGCGATAGGGGTGTGTGGGGGTGTCACACCTCCCCATCAATGATATTTAGTCGGCAAACTGGACCCTTAGTCGGCAAATCGGACCCTTTTAGAATAGTTAGTCGGCAAATGTCGACCCTTTCGATATAGGTTCGACAGGCGGTAAATGTCGTCATGACAGTCGGCAAATTTTGGAAAACGAGGACCTTTTTTTTTTTTAGTCGACAAAAGTTGTGATGGCACCCACCCACGTGACACCTACTCGCGCCGGCCCTATATATATATATATATATATATATATATATATATATATATATATATATATATATATATATATATATATATATATATATATATATATATATATATATATATATATATATATATATATATATATATATATATATATATATATATATATATTGAAAAATCTGCCTATAGACAAGTTTTACATAAATATCGCAAGTAAAAGAAAAATGATCACAGTTTATAATTCACAAATCATTGGAAATATTTCAACAATATTTATTTTTATTCCCTTAAATATAATTATTCATTTAACAAGGAAAGATAGGTCTTATATATTTTTTTTATTTAAAGTTAATATAAAGCGTTTTAGAAAAAAATACTTTTATTTTAAAGTTAGTGAATCTTTATACTTTTTTTGCAGAAATACTTTTTTTTGACAAACTCGTGACAAGTCTAGCTCGTTTTTATTTTGGGTGCAACTGCCGTGATAGAAGACTTTTAAAAAAAAAAAAATGACGATTATGCCCGCCCCCCTAATTCGAAACCCGAGTCGTTGGCCCTGGTTTGTAAGTTAAAAGTGATTATTCTAAGAAAAAGTGATGTCACAGAGCATTTAACTAGGAAGCCTCCTTCTTTACCGTTGTTGGCATTGAATTAGTCTTGAGCCGCGGGCCTCTCGTTTCTGAGGTAAGAGTTCTGACTGTTGCGCCACGGCACCTAAAATAAATCTAATAAATCTTTTAGGTTAAGGTTATTTAAAATCGTAAATATTAAAAATTATTTGCTTAATTAGATATAAATATGGAAAAACACAGAGGTCTACTCAAAATGGCTCAACAGTTGTTGCTAGATAACTTAGCCATTTCGACTCAGCCTCTGCTGAAAAAAGATTGCTAAATGGATAAGAAAATTAGTTTTTTTTAATAGTTTATAATTATTTTATTCATCTTCTAACTTCTAATTAACCTTAACCACTTTATCAGAGGAACGGGTTTTAGAATTTAAAGTACTCAAA